CCTCTGGTGGGTGTGCTCCCACAGGGGGAGTGCCGCTCAGCCAGAAGCTGGGCTCATGGCTGGCGAGCACAGTGGCGGTGGCAGGAGCCTCCTCCGCCTCGGAGGCAGTGCTAAAGATGTCCGACTGACGGCTTAGGCTGCTCCCCCCTGGGGACATCCCTCCAGGGCTCCCAGACTGTGAGACGGTGCAGGCTGGGCTGAGGGAACCCCTCCAGGTGCAAGAATTATATGCACCAGGCTTCTAGTAAAATATAATCTTATCTTTTAATCTAAAGTGCTCAGCCATGGGTAGCATTTGAGTCGGCATAAACATGTGAAGGTCAAATATTTCCTTAGTCCTTATTGTTTTAACCCACGGTGGTATCAGATAACAGAAACTTCCTCTACCAAATAGGAAGACAATAGATTAATAAAAGGTGGTCCCTATACTCCGTTGCTTTCGTGACCATCAATTTTTGAAATTATATACACGTTATTACTTTGATCAAATCAAAAATTTAAAAAAGAAAAAGAGAAACTCAACAAGGAGGATGTATGAGAATGGAAAAGTATAAGCCAATATCCCTAATTCTAGATGCGAAAGTTGTAAATGCAACCTTAGCAAACTGAATTGAGCAATGAGGACGTGAAGACAGACACACAGGGCAACGGAACAGAACTGAGCGTCCAGAAACACCGGTAAACCCCACATCGACTGCCCATCGATTTCCAACAGGAGCGCTAACTCCGTTCAATGGGTGAGGAACAGTCTTTTCAACAAATGGTGTCGGACAACTGGATATCTGTACATGGAAGAATGAAGTTGGACCAGCACCTCACACCATATAGAAAATTCCCCTCAAAATAGGTCAGACCTAAAAGTAAGAGCTAAAGCCATACAGGTTTTAAGAAGAAACCGTGAGCTTGGATTTGGGAATCGTTTCTTAGATATGACACCAAAACACAAGCAACAGAAGAAAAAATTCGATAGACTGGACTTCGTCAAAATTAAAACTTTTGCCCGGCTGGTGTGGCTCAGTGGTTGAGTGTCGAATCAAAATTAAAACTTTTGCCAGGCTGGTGTGGCTCAGTGGTCGACCCAGGAACCAAGAGGTCACGGTTTGATTCCCAGTCAGGGCATAGGCTCAGGTTTGGGGGTTGATCCCCGCGGGGGGCGTGCAGGAGGCAGCACGGGGGAGAAAGGCCCACCGCAGCGCTGAGCACAGCTGATTTGGCACGTGCTGGTGGAACTAAAACCACAGGAACATTCTGGAACAGTAAAGAGACACCCTGCTCTGACTCGGCCAGCGACCTCCTCCCCCTCCCAGCTCCGAGTGGAGTCTTGGGGACTCCAGGCGAGCCGCCTTCTCTCTCTAGGCCTGAGTTTCTTTGTCTGCAAAGTGAGCAGCTGGGTGAGAAGCCATGGACATCCTCCCGGAGCCGGCAAACCCTTGACATGCCCATTCGACAGATGAGGAAACCCGAGGCCACGGCTTGTAGTGAATGTGGGACAGCTTCCAGGTCTCCTCACACCCTGAAGCCTGACCCAGGATGCTTCCCCTCCTCCTCCTCCTCCTCCTCCTCCTCCTCACCTGCCCACCGGCCCCAGTTCCCGCTGGAGGGGTGGAGGGGAGGGGATGTGGAGGGCCTGTGCCTCACCTGGTGGGCCTCAGGGGGCAGAGTCCATGGGGACAGGGTGGCTCGGAGCTCAGCGTCCTCAGGGTGGGGAACGCCCTTACCCGGAGCCCGGCTCTGGCTATTCCATGCTATTCCGCTGGCATGGATAGGGCCGGGCGTGGTGCAGCCGGGCCCGGGCAGGCGTGTCCCAGCTCCCCCTGCCTCTTCCGGTCCCTGGTCCTTCCGCAGGGGCCGCTTGGACTGTTGAGCCTCTGGCGCCCTGCAGGGCTGAGGGCAGAGGTGTCGGTCTTGCTTCCGGGCCTCAGGCTGGCGGACCCCTCCCCTCCCCGTCCAGCTGTGCCCCTCCTGGTCTTCCTTGGCTTCTGCCCTGTTTGTTCTGTGTTTGGCCCAAGAGAGGGATGTGGGCTGGCAGGTGCCCTAGGTAGAGCCTGGAGGCAGCATCCGGGCCGGGCAGGCCCACCCCCGGCCCCCTGCCCACTGCCCCCAGCCAAGCGGGGTCCCCCGTCCTCCTGCCCGGCTGAGGCAGGCCCTGGAAGGGCACAGTGGCAGGCCCTCTGTGATGCTCCTGTTGCCATGGTGATCCTAGGGGAGAAGCCCATCGCATTCTGCCCTCGGAACCTCCACCCACCGGCCCAGCTCTGCTCTGCCTGCCCCCGGAGATGGCGCTATGCCAGGGGACTCGAGAGCACGGGCCCAGCTAGAGTCCAAGCCTCTCCCGGGCATCCCTCATGCCTCCCCGAACCCCGACAGGGACCGCCCCTGCACGTGGGGCTCCGAAACCAGCCTCCACTGTGAGGCGATGGTGGGTAATGGAGAGGCCCAGGATTCAAAACAGAAAACCCACATTCCAGGCCCGACCCGGCCACCCGGCCCTTCATGGCCGTGTGACCTGGACAAGGCAGGCCGTGAACTTCAGCCTCCCCTTCCGTGAGGTGGATAATGCCGGGCTGACCCCCGGCTGACCCCCGGCTGACCCCCGGCTGACCCCCGGCTGACCCGCTTCTCAGCGATTCCTCGGTGACTTTCCACGGCGGCTCCCTGATACCTAATGCTCTTCCATCCGGCTCAGTGCTGCCTGTGGGTTTCCTGTGTGCGGAGCTGCCCCTGCCTGGCTGGGGAAAGTTCGCAGCCAAGACCCAGTGGGAGATGCCAAGACCCGTGCCTGGGATGGTGCCAGGCGCACCTAGCGCTCGCGGGTGTTTGTGGGGATACCCTGGGGCAGTGGTTCTCAACCTTCTGGCCCTTTAAATACAGTTCCTCATGTTGTGACTGAAGCATAAAATTATTTTCGTGGCTACTTCCTAACTGCAATGTTGCTACTGTTATGAATCGTCATGTACATATCTGATATGCAGGATGGTCTTAGGCGACCCCTGTGAAAGGGTCGTTCGCCCGCCAAAGGGATCGCGACCCACAGGTTGAGAACCGCTGTCCTGGGGCATCTGGGAGGGCCGGGGAGGAAGCTGGGGCAGCTCAGCCGGCTGGTCCTGGTGGGACTTGGGGATATTGTGAAGGAACCGCAGTTCAGGAGAAAGGGAGGGAGCACTCCATTGTCTCCCAACTCCTCTCATGGCTCCGTAGCTGCTGATCAGGGTCAAGGAGATGAAGGACCCAGTGCCAGCTCCAGGGTCCACACAGATTCAAGCAGCGGACCCAGCTTCCAGGCCCAGCCAGAGCCACTGGTCACGGGCGCCCCCCAGCGGCCACTGGGGGAAGGCAAAACCCTGTGGCCACAAAGGCGACATGTATTCACGTATTCCTTCTGTGCCAGGCGTGGCGCCAGGCACATGTTTCAACTTAAAATACATCTTTGTCAATCACCTGCTAAACGGAAAGCTCTCTCTCGAGTGTTACATGTCGGTAGGGGAAGAGGGACTACAAGGGAGGGAGGTATTCCTTGCAGCAGTGGCCCTCGGCCCAGGCTGTCCACTAGACTCGCCCCACCAGCCCCAGGGCCCCTTGCAGACGGATGGAGCCGAGGGGTGGGGCAGAGGCCCCCGGGCTTGCGGGTGCTCCAGACACGACAACCACTGGTTTGGAGAGTCGACTGAAACGTTTCTTGCCCCGCATTCTCACCCGGCTGCTGAGGGAGGTGTTATTGTCCCATTTCCCAGATGAGGAGACTGAGGTCCAAGTGAACCTGCCCTTTCCCGGGTGGGACAGTGTTTGCCACAGCACGGGAGGCAGGGGCGCAACAAGTACTCCTCCAGGGCTGCCCCGGATCTGAGGAGACTCCATCATCATTGTTTTCCGGGAATAGAAAAAACAACCACCAAGGTCATTGGGAAATCGTTATCATTTTTAAGGCATTGAATCATAGAGGCAAAACGGTACGCACCGAAGTCCCCTGCAGTCTCAGCGTGTTACCACGCGGGGGTAGGTCAGAGAGGGAGGGGGAGGGATTGACGTTAAGGCTCCGGGTCAGACCGCGAGTCAGGGCTCCTGGAAGTGTGGTCCGAAGGCCACCGGCTCCTTAGAAGTGCAGCGGCCTCTCGGCCCCCCGGCGGATTCTGGAGGAAGATCCCGAGAAGCCGTCCTTGTGGCCACTGAAGGCCAAGGGCCACCGCAGTTTTGAGCATTCCCTTCGTTCAAGAGGAACATGTCCTGGCTCACATCACTTCCCGTGGCGCAGGAGAGCCCTGCCTGGAGCCGGGGCTGATGCATTGAAATGTGTGGAGCCAGCGGCCGAGATATTAACCAGCTGCCCCTGGGGACTGGAGTGCTCGCACCCACCTCGCGTGGGCTGGCTGGGAGGCCACAGCGTGCCCACGGACATCCGCCCAGGCGGGGCCCACACACAGCCCTGGGCCCTTTCTCCTTCCCTCGCTCAGAACCAACCTGCTAACTCCCGCCTCCGCCAGTCACAGCCCTCACAGCCACCCAGACTCCCCACGGGGATGCAAAACTCTGGCTCTGACTGAGGTGACGGGATTCTAAAGAAACGCCATCCTGCCCTGGCCGGTGTGGCTCAGTGGGTAGAGCGTCGGCCTGGGGACTGAAGGATCCCAGGTTTGATTCGGGTCAAGGGCATGTACCTTGGTTGCAGGCACATGGCCAGTAGGGGGTGTGCAGGAGGCAGCTGATGGATGCTTCTCTCTCATTGATGTTTCTAACTCTCTATCGCTCTCCCTTCCTCTCTGTAAAAAATCAATAAAATATTTAAAAAATATATATGTATTTTTTTAAAAATCAATGATTGATGGGCTGCCTCCTGCACACCCCCTACTGGGGACCAAGCCCCAAACCCAGGCATGTGCCCTGACCGGGAAGCAAATGATGACCTCCTGGTTCATGGGTCGATACTCAACCACTGAGCCACACCGGCCAGACCCCATCACACCATTTTGCTGCTTGAAGTTCTCCTGTGGTGCCCTGCAGCTTGCAGGATATCCCTTGACGCCTTAGTGCAAGTGTGTCAGACTCAAAGGCTAACACGGGCCAAATAAACAAGGTTTAAGTGTATGTGGCCGCAAAAAACAAACAAAAAGCTTCCATTTTCATAGAAACGTAGGTTTATTTCGATAGAGACATGCTGAATACAAAGGGCTGAAATAAATGAGTCATCGTTAGCATAAAATAATAGAACATTTTAATAAGAATTAATATTTTTTCTTAAACATTCACTTGCCAGACACTGAACAACTGCATAAATTAATAAGCATCATGCAAATAAACCTATTTTTCTTGTTCTCCAAAAGCAAAATATTTCGTTGTGCATACCACACAAGTCAGTACAAGACTAATGAGGTGGCCATCGGCTGCTGAAATATTCGCTGCTGGTATTAGTGGAGAGAAATGGTGCGCCTGCGTGTAAGGCACGTAAGGAAAATGAATGCAACACGATGATAGTCATCAGTCGCTAGCGAACGTTGTAGTTGGTTATTGATAATGATGTATGACAGGATATTGTAAAAGTTAAGTTACGAACTTTTTATTGAAACGTTTCTTACATACCGGTTATTGGCTGGGCCGCAAAAACGTTCGTTGTGGGCCCCGAGTTTGACCTGCCTGCACTCACCACCACTGCAGGGCTTGGGGAGGCTGCCCGCCTGGCCGACCCTTTAATTCAGCGCAGCCACAGCATATATGCCTGTTGCATCTGAAAGCCGTGAATAAATACACGTTTGAAAATCGAATGAGTAACTGAACAAATGAATAGATTATACCTGCCTGGCTCAGGGCAGTCGGAAAGGGCCCGTGTGTGTGAGGACCGCCCTGTGTGGGTGGCGGGAGCCTGTACACAGTGGCTTTGGAGAGAGACAGTGGTCAGGCCGGAGGGGGTCCTGGGAGAGGGCAGGGGGTGGGAATGCCAGGAGCTGAGGGTTGAGAGCGGGGAGCAAGGCTGCAAGGCTGCAAGGGGGGATTCCCAGAGCCTCACCTGCCCCCAAGGTGGCAGAGCAGCTCACCAACCCGTTTGGAGAAGATGACGACGACCTTGAGACCAACTGGATTGTGGACAGGAGCTTGCAGGTATGGGGGAAGGAGGGAGCCCGTCCTATGAGCTTTCCCCAAACGGGACCCAGGGACGGGGACCCTGAAATTCTGCAGAGAGGCCTGACACTGAATGGCCTCCTCTCCCCTCCCAGGATTCTCACCCCAATTTTTGCGGCCTCAGGTGGTGTCAGTCTCTCCATTTCGCAAGTAGGGAAACTGAGGCCCAGAGACACGGAAGTGGCCTCTCCCGGTCACCTGGCAAGTTCATGGTCTTGCTTGGCTGATCTTCCTGTGGGACTTCTGCTTCCGTCCCCGACGGCCAGGTGTCCCTGTTGGCCGTGGACGAGAGGCACCAGGACCTGCCCCCAGTGGAGCGGGGCCTGTACTGGAACGACCCGGAGCCACAGCCCCCCTACACGGCCGCCTCTGCCCAGTCTCGCCGACCCTCCTTTTCTGGCTCCACCTTCAATATCAGGTGGGCGGTGCCAGGGAACCACCTCGGAGGAGAGAAAACCCAAGTGCGTGGGCCTGCCTGGGCACAGACGGCCCAGCTAACGCACACCGGGTGCTCGCTAAGTACCAGGCACTGCACGAAGCCCTTTATATACAGTAACTGCTGTTTTCTTCCCCATAGCCTCGCTGTGTCAGCGCCAGTTTTCAGGTGGCTAATTCCAGGTTCAGCGAGGTTAAGTTGCCGAGCCCCCCGTCACACGGCTAGCAGGCGGCACATGTGGGCCGGGTATGTCTGGTTCACCTCCCACCCTCCCCTCTTTCCTGTCCTGCTTCAGGGCTCTTGGGTACCTTGTCTAAGCCCCCTGTGTCCAGAGAGGGACCCTGAGGCCCAGAGAGAGAAGGGACTTACTCGAGGGCAGGCAGTGGTCAGTGATACTGCTGGGGTGTCGGGGCCTGGCTCCTGACGCTGGTCCGGAACTGTTTTCTGATAAGCCAGAGCATTTGGAGCGGTGGTGGTGGGATGGAGTGTCCCTGAAATGGGGGCGGGGGGCAGGCGCGCCCCAGCAGGGAGGCTGGGTCCTCACAGGGACCTTCTGGGTAGACTTTGTGCTACAGAGGAAAGGCCTCGGGCCGCCCACGTGGGTGCCGTTTCCCTGATGTGGTCAGAATCCCTTTGGAGCTGCCGCTGGGCCTCCGTGGGCTGAGGGGCGCCCGGACAGCTCTCTCTCGAGGATGAGCGTGAAGAGGACGCTGGTGCGTGTCTATCAAGGTTTCCTCCCACGGTGTTAAGCTGCTCTCTTCCTGCTCTTTTAAGAACACAATATCCTATTAGGCTGAAACTAGAATTAGCTGGCGTCTCCTAGTGGCGTGAACAAGGCTTGAAAAGGTGGTCAATTGAAACATTTCCGGAGGTGGCCTTCGAGCTCGACCCGATCTGGGCTCAGCAACCGAAGGCTGTGGAGATGGAGGGGGAGGAGCAGAAGTAATGCATAGGCCTGGCTCCCGGGGACACACACTTCGGTGACACTGGATACACAGCGCAGGTCCCGGATGCCGGGGAAGGGACAGGACGGAGGAGGTCACTGTGCCCCCTGGAGGGAGGGGCCTGCAGCTGGGCCTGCAGCCTGGGGAGGTTTGGACAGGGCGAGGGCGACTCCTCTCCTTGGCGACGCTGCTCCCAGGCGGCACCACAAATGCCAGGCGAGGAGCCTGCGTGTTAACACGGGCAAAAGGGACCACAGAGCAGCTGGGTGAGCTGGGCCGGGAGGATGGCTCAGGAGGCACAGGATGGATCAGGAGAGGCGAGTCGGCATGCTGAGGAAGACTGTGTCCTTGGCCTGGGGCCGGGGGGAGGGAGAAGAGGGGCTGAGGGAGAAATCAGGTCGGGTTTGGTCCCTTTGTCCCCCCGACTCAACCCGCAGTCTCTTGCTTCTTCCCAGTCTGCACAAGGAAGAGACGGAGTTCCAGCCCAGCCAGGGGGAGGCAGGGGAGGCGGGCGCGCACACTGGCATCCTCGGCTGCCTCCTGGGGCTGCAGTCCCACCACCACCCCAGCAGGACGAGCTCGAAGACCAAGCTAATGCTGCCCCAGAAGGAAGGCCTCCTCCCTGAGGGCCAGCCCGAGCACCTCAGGGGTGCCAGGAAGCGCCCCGGGGACCCGCAAGACAGCGAGGCCTGGAAGATGAGGGGGGAGGAGACCTTTAAGTCCGCGGCGCTGTATGGGAGGTCGGGCTACCACAGTGCCCCCCAGACGCCGCTCAGCTCCACCCCCATGGTGCTCCCACCAGGGCCCTCAGCACCCCCGTCTCCCCGGTGTCGACAACACTGTCAAAGACCAGAGCCCGCAGCCTGTGACGCGAGGGGCCAGGAGGAGCTTGGAGCTGCTCCCAGAGTGTGCAGGGGCCTCGATGGAGCCCCCGGAATTGTGTCACAGCAAGAGGAAAACTGTCGAGTTTAACCTGTCAGCGGCCCCCAAGAGTCATCTCTGAGAACCACATACACGATCGACAAGCAGCATACACACGACACTCACAGACCACGACCCCTTCTGGGCCTTGGAAAACAGGTCTGTGCTCTACCCCAACCAGCCCCACCCCAGCTCCCCTTGCTCCGAGCCCACCCTTCCTCCAGGATTTCCTCACGGCTCCATCACTGCAGAGCAGGCTGGACCTGGGCCCAGCACTGGCTTGCAGCACACACTTGGCCACCCCGGCAGGGGCCCTAGGAAAGTGTTGGGGGCTTTTGTTCATTTCACCCAAGAGCCTGGCATCACCAGGAAGGAGTCCCTGCGACCGCGGTGAGGAGGCGGCTGCCCTAACGGGAATGCCAGGAGGAGCTACCAGGCCAGGCTTCAATGGGGAGATGTTATCCTCACTTTCAACAGCGTGGGAGACACTAAATCCCATGGGGCAGAGCGGGGGGCTCTAGCGGTAGCCCAAGAATCCAACTCCCTGCCCAGATTGAGAGGTGGTATATGAGCGGTCCCCCAAGACCACCACTGGCCTGAAGCTCTGGCAAAGGCTGCCACACCTCTGGATGGTTGAGGGCACGCAGGTCCCTTGGGGCGTCTCACTGCTTTGGGCGCCTCAGCGAGACTTCACTTCAAATGTGCTCTTCCTGCTTCCTGGGGTCAATCCAAGCTGTCACAACCCCCCGTGTCCCCTTTATTCCATCCTTAGACTCACCCTGTTATACATCTGTCTCGCCCCACCCCCATCATGTGGGAGGGAAGTTTAACTTCCTATTTCTAGATTCTCAAGAAGTTCCTTCTGTGGTCAGAATACACAGCTGTGAGATCTTAAAAGGGCCACCATCTGTCTTGCTTCCAGGGCTAGACAGAAACCTGAAGATCACTGTGGCTGACTTGGGAAATGATATAACGGCTCTGCAGTACCGGCACTAGTCATTTTTAATATCTAAGATGCCTCAACCTTTGCTCTCCCGCTACAGCTAACGTCATATTGGAATGAAGGTACCTTCCATATTCATGTGAAATTTCTCAAATTTCCAACAGGGATGAAGCACATTCCTAGTCCGTCTCCCCAGGAGCAGCGGCACCCGCCTGGTCCCACCCGTGTACACACCACGGGACTCTGACCCAGTCACAGACAGCTGTCCACACGGATGCTCCCGACAGCCTGAATTACATGGTCAGCTCAGTGGATAACGATAATCATTAGTTTCAAGACTACCTAAGCCTTTAAATGCCCTTTGTACATAAATGAAAGCTAGAATGAGCCACTAGAAACATGTAATTCAGAATCAGGAGTCCCAGAGTCCTGTCTGAATTCCACACCCCCAAGCCTTGGTATCTTTCATGAACTTAGGGGTTTCACGTAACTGAGGACGAATAAACTAAGGGTTTTCATAAACACAAGTCCTGTCAGGCGTTTCATTTTAATTAGTGTGAACCCGGCACTGACGCATTTAGCAAAGGCGGCCTAGGTATGACATACTGCAGCCGATCCCAGGAACGCACAGACAACAGCTGGGTACCAAATTACTTTATTGGAAGGAACGGTACAAATGACAGACATGAGTGGATGATTTGGTACAAGTTATAGAAAAGGTAAAGGTAGCTCCAACATGCAGTACTGCTTGGGGGACCAGGAAGTCGCCCCGAGGCCACGGGAAGCAGCCAAGGCTTAGCTCTCGTCGCTGTCCCCCAGGGTGTGCTTGTCAAAGAGGTACTCGGCCATCCCCGCTTCAGGGGCCCCCAACCTGCGCAGGTTGGTGACGTGGTCGCCCAGTTCTTTGATGGATTTCACCTGCTCATTCAGGCAGTGCGTCTCAATGAAGTCGCACAACTACAAACACAGAACGGGAAGAACACGGTCAACTCCCAGCCATTCAGGAAGACCCCTCCTCCATTCGCTCTCAGGGGCCAATACTCACATGAGGGTCATTTTTCTCAGTGGCCAGTTTGTGCAAGTCCAGTAGTGACTGATTCACACTTTTTTCCAAGTGCAGCGCACACTCCATTGCGTTCAGCCCGTTCTCCCAGTCGTCGCGGTCTGGTTTCTGAAGGAGAGGGAGTTAGGGCAAGGCACCCAGTCTTACCGAGTGCACCATGACAATTTGGCAGGCAAACCTTTCGGTGAAAGGAACATCTAAGTTTCCAACCCTCTCCCTTCCCCTCTAAGATCAATACAAACATATTTAAACTAAAAAATGGGCCGGAAGATCAGCTGCGCGGGGCTTCCGTGGGCCGTGTGCTCACCTTGATGTCCTGGAGGAAGATGCGGCCGCCCCGCTGGTTCTGCAGCTTCATCAGCTTCTCCGCGTGCTCCCTCTCCTCGTGCGATTGGTGAAGAAAGTATTTGGCAAAGTTCTTCAAAGCCACATCGTCGCGGTCAAAGTAGTAAGACTGCGGGTGGACATGAGCGGGTTAGTGAGGGGCAGGCCGCGCTCCTGGACTGAACCCAACAGTCATCAGTTTCTCCCCAAAGGGAAAAGGGGAGCCGGGTCTGTCTCTGAAATGGGAGGTCGGCTGCGAGGAGCCTGCGGCACTGCCTCCAGGACGAAATGCGCGGCCAAGTTCTCCCGCGGGTGTCGGATTTCCCTGCAGGTGCCCGCGCCCCCTCCTCACCGGGACACGTTAACAGTGAGCGGCTGGCAGAGGGATTTCTAAAATTAACCCACGAGCAGCGGGTAGGTGGATGGGAGGCGGTGTTGAGACACTCGCTGTGTTAGGAGCTCCGAACAGAAACCCAGGCCTGCTGGCCGGCCAGGGGGACGGGGACGCGGCCGTGGCCGGGCACAACCGCAACGGGGCTACGATTCCTAGACCCCCAAAGGGTAAGGAAATGAAGGGCCCAGGCAGCACCAGAAGGCAACCTGGGGTCCCCCACACGGGAGACGGCTGAGACTCGCCCCCACGCCAGTGGGGCCCCGAGATAAGCAGAGCCGGGGGTGGAGACAGCTGCTCGGGAGGGGGCGCCCACGAAGATAAGCCGCTCGCGCCAGCCCCGAGGTTGCTA